TTTTTTTTCACACAGATAGTAATATCTAACGAGCATAAAGTTTGTAGTAGTTTATGATCAGATTCTTTACGTTAGGACTTAGCGATTTTTTCCAATATTCCTAATTTTTATAACGAATCAAACCGAAACAAAAATCATAAACAATGGAGAATCACAGCTGTCGGATATCGACTCCGACTATGACAAAGAAAATTCTGATTCTCAAAATGATATTGAATTTATTTCAGGTCAAGAAATATTATATGAAAATTCTTTTTTCCTATCTGTCAAAGAGCTTACTTTATCATCTGGTATTCGTCAAAATATGCAACTAAAAAGACATCACCCAATTCATTATTTTGAATTATTTTTTGATAATGATATTCTTAGCATTACTGTCGAAGAAACAAATCATTATCAAAGTCCCGGTAACAGACCGATCAAAAATTGCTAAGTGGGTAGATTTGACACAAGAAGAACTACAACATTTTTTAGCTCTGAATATTCTCATGGGACATGTACGAAAAGAAAAATTGAAAAATTATTGGAGTACTTCTCCCTTTTATCGACGTCTATATTTGCCTCGAAATAGTGAGGTTGCTGAATCCGAACACGAGGTAATCTTGGCTGTATCTGATCACCTGAAAGTCATTTGAAGATCAAGTCGGAGAAAAACCGAGCAATCGAGTTTTAACTCGTATTATATAGGTTTCTACGAGGGTCGTTTGAAAAGTTCGTGCAAAAATAAAAAGTGCTTGATTTTTTTTAATAAATCTTTTTTATTTTTCAACATAGTCTCCTTTTAGGCTTATACACTTCATCCAACGCTGCTCTAGTTTGTTAATCCCTTCCAAATAATAGGATTTGTCCAAGTCTGTAAAATAGGCATTCGTTTCTGCAATCTCCTCCTCGTTTGAATAAAATCCTTTCCCCGCCAGCCATTTTTTCATATTAGGGAACAAATAGTAGTCCGACGGAACCAAGTCAGGAGAATAGGGGGATGTGAAACGAGTTGGAATCCTATCTCCATCAGTTTTGCGGCCACAACCGCTGAGGCGTGAGCTGGCACATTGTCGTGGTGGAAGAGGAATTTTTTGCGGGCCAATCGTGGACGTTTCTCTAGCAACTCGGTTTTCAAACGATCCAATAACGATGAATAATATTCGCCTGTAATGGTTTTACCCTTTTCCAGATAGTCGATGAAGATTATTCCTTGCGAATACCAAAAGACAGTCGCCATAACCTTTCCGGCCGAAGGAATTGTCTTCGCCTTTTTCTGAGCAGATTCCCCCTTGGTAACCCATTGTTTAGACTGTTCTTTGGTCTCAGGAGTGTAGTGATGTATCCATGTTTCATCTACAGTGATGAAACGACTCTTAAAGTCTTGCGGATTTTGCTGGAACAGCTGCAAACCTGTCTTGCAACACTTCACACGATCTCGTTTTTAGTCAATCTTGAGCAATCGCGGCACCCATCTAGCGGATAGCTTTTTCATGTCCAAATGTTGGTGCAAAATATTGTGTACCCGTTCGTTCCAGATGCCTACAGTACTAGCAATCTCACGCACCTTCACTCTTCTGTCAGCCATCACCATATCATGGATTTTATCAATGATTTCTGAAGTGGTTACCTCAACAGGGCGTCCAGATTGTTTAGCGTCTTTTGTGCTCATATGGCCACTTCGAAAATTTTGAAACCACTTATAAACCATTCTAATCGAAGGTGCAAATCACCATAATGTTTATCAAGCTTCTGTTTAATCTCCTGAGGCGTTTTGCCTTTGAAAAAGTAATGTTTAATCAATACACGAAATTCTTTTTCGTCCATTTTTTTACAACCACTCGATTTCTTTGATTGAAACGAATGTAAAACACAAAGTAATTGGCCGATCTGGCTGAAACTTGGCGTGTGCTCTTCCAAGATATGCCACTAACTGAAAATAACCTTGATACACACTAGTAGCGCCATCTCTCTGACTTTGCACGGACTTTTCAAACGACCCTCGTATACATACTTTTTTTACTATTTACATATAAAAAACTTTTCCCACTGATGAATTTTCCAATTTTTATGTTGTTTTGCCCATTTCAATGTTTTTTTAAGGTTAGCAGGTCTTAGTGATTTTTTAACAACCTCTCAACGACAAAATCCTTTTTCACAGAGTCTTTTGCATACAGTACATTCGCAGACTTTATTTGTTAGAAGTTCATTAGCGAAAACGTTATTTCAGGTACTGTTAAACGTCGATTCCGTAAAGACATTTGAATAATAAGCTTATCTTCGTTGGCGCTTGCTTGGCTTATTAGGTCACTGGAATGTCATTTTAATGCTAGTTCAAGATCGAATAGAGAAAAAGACGAGCAAAAAAGTCAACTACCTATTATGTAACTTTTGAGGGTCTCAAAGTCCGAATGTAAAGTCTGTTTGTTCTTCAAAAGTCATGTTAAGAAAAAACCATGTAATTACTCGTAATTACTGTTCTGATAGTCACTAATAAAAAAAATATAAGCCAAGATGATCTCGTATTCGGACTTAACAACCTCAAAAACTATATAATAATTTGTTTATTTTATTATTCGATTTTTTCTCTAATTGATTTCGAAATGATCTTGAAATGACCTTCAGATGACCTCACATGGCCAAGATGACCTCGTATTCGGACTCAGCGACCTCAAAAAATTATATAATAATTAGTTATATTTTATTGTTCAGCTTTTTCTTTATTTTATCTTGAAATGACCTCGAAATGACCTTCAGGTGACCTGACACAACCAAGATGATTTCGTATTCGGACTCGGCGACTTGAGAAATGGATGCATATATTACAGTTAAGTCGAACAACCAAAATGATTACTCCAAAATCCAGTGATTTTTCTCACGGCTTATTCTACATTTGACATTGAATTGACCTTGATTCTTACTAAAAAGAGAGGGGGAGGTTCCGTTTCTTGCTGAATCGATTAGTTATCAAATATAGACAATAATAAAAAAAAATTTTATGGTAGAAAATGTCGGGCGCCGGAAACCAGCCAAAATGATTCTCCTACTCTCAATTTGCAATGATTTAGCAAAAGTGAAATTTATAAAATAGCTTGATAAAAAGGTTATTTTAAAATTCCATATCACGTAAACTAATGATTTTGAAGAACCCATCTTGTGCACACATATGTTACATATACAATGTATAGCTAATTCTTATCGTTATCAAAATATATCGCATAATGAATTTTTGAATACTACCCAATTAGTTCTCTTCTTTTTTTTCTCAACTCGAGACGGTCCGATTGACACAACAAACGCTCAATTTTATATTAATTTAATTACCTACAACTTTTCACATTAAGGTATACACTTAACTTTAAAACTGTCTGTTTTATTCTCAAAACATGTGTTAGCAAATCGCAAATGTTTAAAAATCATGTAATCAAAATTAGTAGCTGTGCTTTTATAGCACAATTAGAAAAATGCATGTACATTTTATCTAATAATGCTAATAAACAAGAATATACAAACAAATTAATGTTAAAAACTTTATCCTGAAAATATCTTAAATGATTGGTTATGGCGGTTTGGGTTGTTCATGAGATAGCTAATATAGAATTAAATTCTTTAACAAGGATCATAAAAAAATTACTCAAAATACTTTTCCTGATTGAAGACATGATTGAACATCCACTAGAAACTTTATATAAGTGATGTTTAGATATTTAATAAACTAAATTCTAACAGTCAGATATTTCCATTGGATCTAAAGCAATACAAGATTACTAAAAAGATTTACTATTGCCTTGATATTATTATATAATATCAATTATAATTTAACCCATAATTGAGTTAAAAATAAAGTTTGAGATATATGTTCTGTCATCCCTTAAAAGTATACTAATCCTATTGTATCTGACATAGGTAGATAGGTGTATAAAACTAAGAACACTGTGGCTGACATTTATCAATGCACCATGCTTGGTCAGCAGCAAAAGTATATCTTATTGACTGAAACATTTTCCTAAAATATCTCCAAACCAGCTGGGCATTTGATTATAACCGCATATTCCTTTCAGCACTTCAAACAGTAGGCATACTACAAATGTTAAAGACATTATATAAGTTTCACCAGTCATTTTTTTATATTCTTTTCACTTTTAAATGTAAACAACTGTTTTTAATTTTTATTGTTATATTATTATGTGACGAATTGATCTTTATGACTATACATTTAGGCCAAACATTTTACATTTTATCATAATAGTACAATCTATATAAAATTGCATACTCATTAATGTTAATTAAATAATAGTATATTATCATTATTATCAGTCATTAGTAATAATAATTTCTTTATAATAATTTATTATGAATAGATAAAAATCATATAATAAATAAATTATTATAAAGAATAGTTTTTAAAGGAAATGTAAAATGTTCATATTAATTTTCATTATACATTATTAGATCTATATGGGAATATTAATGAAAAATTTCAAGGTAAATTATAACAAATCAGACTATTTGAAATCTCATATATCATTAGTTAAAATTTATTCTATATCAAATAATTTCAAAATAAATATTTGTATATAAATTTTTTTAATACATTTCAAAAAACTGTCTGATTTCCATTAAGCATTTATATTAAATAACAATCCTTAAACCATTAAAGAATAAAGAAATATTTTTATTAATAAAATGTTATTATATTACCATTACTGAAAATAAGCAGTTTCATTAACGTTTGAACAAAACTACTTATCAATTAAATATATCTTCTAAATATTAACATTTTTATTTGTTATATTTGTTACATATACTTATATAGAATTTGAAAATTGTTTTTACTTTCTGAATTTCAAACATAGTCTACCAAAAAATTATACTACATATGAATTATGGACATAATTCTTCCTAGATTCAAATATTGAATAAGTATTCCATTCAATGAAAAATCACAAGTTTTTATAACTTTTATTAACACATGATTTTTCCATTAATACATAGATAATTATATGAAATAAAATCATTACCTTTGTATTATTGGACATACTTGGTCCTCCTCGTACAAACTCTGCCATTATTAAAAAATTAACAGGCAATTTTTCAATGCCGTAAAAGGTAAATATCACAAAAAATATGCCATTCCTTAAATAATTTCATATTATTCCGCAATAGTAAATGATCAATAAAAGTAACAGTGAATTCTTAGATAATATCAAAAAAATCAGTTATAATATGTCAATTAATTAATTTGCTCTTGAAAATGTATCAATTGTAGTGCATACACTATACTTGTTTATTACTTTACTTGTATTGAAATTTTTCATAATTTCAATTTTTAAATAATTCTGATATTTATTCACATTTCCACAAACTAAGATAAATAACTCTTCATTTTTTTAAACAAACAAATATTCAAAAATTATGAAAATTAATTGTTATTTTAATTTTTTTTTTTCAAGTAGAAGCTTTCTGAACTTAAGCAGCGTTTTGTTGACAATTAAATAATTCCATAAAGCTAGCAACCAAACGTTTCCTAAAAATATATAAAAAACAAATTTAAGACAACTTTTAATGCTCGTCCTAAAAATATCACTCAGAAATTATCTCGTTCACTCATTAAAAAGATGTTCAATAAGAACGTGGTTGCAAAACCGCCGTTATTTACTTTTGTTGTATCAGAGATAATGATTAAATACACTAGTAACTTTCGAGAAAGAGTTGAACTTAGTGGGTGTTCACATAATGTTTTTGACACATTCAAATAGACACCAATTCTGACACAATCAGAGATAACATGACCAGTGTGCACTGCGCAACCATTTATGAACCGATCTAAAGTGATTTTGTCACTAAGATATCGAAACTGAATAAATAAGCTAACTAAAATTTATTTTCGTTTGAATAAACAAAATATTTCGAAGTCCGTAGACAAAAAAAAAAACTTTTTTCTCTTTTTTTTTACATTTTGCAGTAACAGCAATAGGTGAAAAGTACAGAATCCTAAAACTAGAAATTTTAAGCTTTAAAGTGCTTTTTTTCTCATCTCAATACGATTATTTTTCAAGAAAATATAGTTCTACAAAAATCACCAAAAAATTTAGGAATTTTTTCTGTTTCCCTAATTTTTTCCAGTATTATATGTTAATGTAATATTGTGACGGGGTTAATACCGTTTATTCAATTTAATACGCACGATCGTATTGAAGAGCGCGAGTGATTACCTATACGTTTAAACACGAAAACCGGAGAGCAGGAGGAAACGGGTATCAGTCAACCAACTATCTACTATTGAAATAAGTACGATGAAATTCTAATCAATATCACATGTGAGATCGTTTATTTTCTCTAAACTGTACACTGTATTCGGCCCGCGTGTTTATGTTTACAAGACGCTCGCGCGACAATAACATGTGGAGTCGGATCGCTCGCCGCTCTTTGTTTGCCGAGATAATACATGCACGTTTTCTAGCGAGTACGAAAGATTAGTTATTTAGCAATTCTGCCGCGATCGCGAAATTAAGCTGGCCAGCTTACCTTATTAACAGTTGTACGGCAACACGAGAGAATGTAGCTCACAATTGAGTTTCGGCAAAGTCTATTGCTTTTTTTGTTTGCGACAAGAAAACTTGCGTTCACAGTTTCGCCCTCGATGGCAAAACTCCTCACTCGCACACTCTTGCACGCACTCGTAGTGTTCAGTATCAGGTACGGCTCCTGCTGGCTTGGATCAGCTCGTCTCGGCACTCGGGAAAGCTCGGGAACTATCAACTATCCCACCTTACACAGCTTAGCGACCGGGTGCTAATCTTCGACTCCTCTCAGGCGATATCGATAGCTGATCCTCAACTGCCTCATTTTCATACGCGCGCGTTCCGTCCCGTCGCGTGCCGAATTCCCTCATCACATTTTCCCCAACCGGTAGGTGCTGCCCTCGCCGGCAGCCGCATGGTTGGGCCGTTAGCGCTAATAAGACGTTTACCGTCCCAATATATATAATAATTGTTGCGAATTACAATTGTTATCTGTAACAATTATTATAATATGTAATCATAGTTCAGTAATTACATAATACTTAAGTAATTTGAGATGAACTACGATTCATCATAAGGATCGCAAATTGAATTGCGATATTTGTTTATAGATTGTTATCATAACAAGGAGAGCTCCAATGTTGTCATTTACAGTTTTGATGCAAAAACACTCTTGTAACTATATCAAGCCTCAAGATCCATCTTGTTTTATCGTTTTTACTCTTACTTTTGTTACGTTTACACCAAATGACGTTTAGGTGCGAGCTTTCAAAGCGGATAGGTAGTGTTTTAGGACTAAGTGCGAGCTCGTGAAAGTATATGATAAATAGAACGAGGATACAATAACAGCGATTAGCATGCATAAAGTAGTTAATAGTTTAAGTGTATTCTTACTTGGGGTATAGTTCACGTGGTACGTGGTTTGACTCGAAATGTAAAGTTAAATAAATAATGCCAGATATTCAAGTGACTTTTTTAATCTAAGTGTAAAGTACAAATATAACTTATACTTAAATAATCTCAGATTTTAATTGAAGAGCAATACAATATTTAAATTGACAGAGTTTAGGTTTATCGGAACAAGAGTCCACAAGAGTAGAAGATCGAGGGTAACGAGTTAACAGAAGAGCAAGATCGTAAGAGAGCAAGTACAGTGACGAAAGGCTCCTTTTATACCCGCGCTACTTAATCCTTCCATTGACTTAAAATTAGGACACTGCTTCATAGAAAGTTATTGCCTCAAATCATGATTCATGCATAAATTAAAGCCGGTTTATAGTGTCGGTATACGCGTCAGGTAATACAGCGAAGGCAATATTATCGTGATCTACAATATCGGTAACAATTTAATGGAATGGAAGATACAGAATCGATGACGGGGTATATTATCGACTACGTAGTTTTTTATCGGTACATACAAAATTATTTTTATGGTATAAATACGAGGGGGGAGGGGTCAATAAGTCTTTACAAAATTCAAGAGTTGGCACTCGTCATGCTTAAATTATGATGTTTTTGGCTTCAGATCTCTACATTTACAAATATAGGCTTAACTTTTGTATCGTTGAATTTAGCCTTAAAAGCGAACTGGTCAGTTTTGCAGGATTCATGGGGAAGCGAGCACTACCCCATTAAAATATCGTTTAATCTGAAAACCGACGAACAAAATAGAGATAATTATCGGATCAATCAAAAAAAAATTGATTTTACGAAATTTTTGAAATTATTAGATGATGAAAAAATTTAATTTAATAGCATGACCTTTATTAACGAGTCAGTCGTCAATAGGTATAATATTTTTATGGATTTTCTATATAAATCTCTCGACGAATGTAGTTGCAAAAAGAAAAAACCTATTGCATTTGAACCAACAAGAAAAAAAAGAAAAAAAAAGAAAAACCATTTGGTGGAACGAAAAAAGTGACAAAATTGTTAGATGGAGGAATGCCTCGTTTAGATCTATTCATTATAGATGTAACTTAAAATCTTTTATAAATCATAAAAAACTAGAAGCTCAAACTACAAGAACTTTACATGAAGAAAAAAAGAACTCATTTATATATTTTTGTATTTCACTAAATCGTAACGGAGAAAGGTCGGTGCGTTCAAAAACGGTTTGAGCAGACCTACCTCTCTTAATGGTAACAAAATACGAGGGTGGTCCGATAAGTACTTAGCCTACAAAAGAAAAACGAAAATTTTGGAAAAGTGGCGTTTTATTTTTCAACATAGTCTCCTTTTAGTTCGATACACTTGGTCCAGCGATGCTTCAACTTCTTTAACCCGTCTGAAAAATACGTTTCCTCGAGGTCGCAAAAGTAGGCTTCCGTGGCAGCGATTACCTCCTCATTCGACTCAAATTTCTGCCCAGCGAGTGACTTTTTCAAGTTTGGGAACAAAAAGAAGTTGCATAGGGCTAAATCTGGAGAATACGGTGGATGGGGCAGCAGTTCGTAGCCTAATTAGACCAATTTGGCCATGGCGACGGCGGAGTTGTGAGCCGGTGCGTTGTCGTGGTGGAAGAGCACTTTTTTCTTCGCCAAATGGGGCCGTTTTTTCTGCAATTTGACGTCAAATTGGCCCAATAATTCGGCATAGTACAGCCCTGTGACCGTTTTGCCCCTCTCCAGGTAGTCGATGTAGATCACACCTTGTGAATCCCAGAAAACGGTGGCCATCACCTTTCCGGCCGATGGGGCAGTCTTCGCCTTCTTCGGAGCACTTTCGCCGGGTAAAGTCCACTGTTTTGACTGTTCCTTGGTCTCTGGTGTATACCAGTGGATCCATGTTTCGTCGACTGTCACGAAACGACGCAGAAACTCCTTCGGATTGCGCTTAAACAGCGTCAGACATTGCTCTGAAGTTGTCTCACGTTTGCGGTTGTTGTCCGGAGTGAGCAAACGCGGCACCCATCGTGCCGACAGCTTTCTCATGCCCAAAATTTCACGCAGGACATGACCCACGCGGTTTTTTGAGATGCCTACGATCTTAGCTATCTCGCGTACCTTCAATCGTCGATCTGCCAATACGAGATCGTGAATTTTTGTCACGTTATCCTCCGTGGTAGCCGTTTTCGGAGCACGTGGACGTGGCTCTTCAAAAATCGACGTGCGACCACGTTGAAACTCGTTAAACCAATTTTTGACGGTCACCATCGAAGGAGAAGAGTCACCGTACACAGCATCCAAGCGCTTTTTGATTTCGCTGCGCGATTTCCCTTCCAAAAACAAGAATCGAATCACCGACCGATACTGCTCTTTTTCCATTTTTCAAAAATCAACGGACACACTTGCTTTCACACGCTCTCAAAAATAAACTACAACTCCGATCCGGCTGAAATCTTGACAGTAACCATCGAGAAGGTTGTACTACGTGATAGAATAGTTTTTTTTTGCGTGAGTGGCGACATCGGCCGGTGGGGCTAAGTACTTATCGGACCATCCTCGTAGCTATACTTAACGCACAACAATGCCTTTCGGAATTGTGCACCCCTAAAAACTTGGATCTATGCCCTCATGAAAACATATCCGATTTTATAGGATGCTATTACTCTAATGAAGAGCAAACCCATTTTATGGATACTCCATTCTCTTTTGAGGATCTTGACGCAGCACTTAGCTCTGTAAATTTGAAATCATCCCCAGGGGTCGATAGAATTAGCTACGAATTATTAATTATTACCGGAATTTTACAAACGGTTACTCTTGGATTTGTACAATGACTTTTGCAATCAGGAAATCTTCCCAGAAAATTGGTCTAGGTATCTAATCACATTTATTCCAAAAAGCAACAGCGATAAAGTTCGATCAGTTTCGATGGCATCTTGTATCCTAAAAACTTTCGAAAGAATGATAAACACTCGACTGATTTTTTGGTTAGAGAACAACAAAATTTTTTCATTATCACAGTTTGGTTTCCGCAAAGGTAAATCCTGTGCCGATAACCTTTCGATCCTAACCACACACATTCATAAAGCATTCTACAAAAAGAAAAGCTTAGCAGCTTTTTTCCTGGACGTTAAAGGTGCCTTTAATGAGATTATCCCAGATATACTAATTGACGACCTGATCAAACATGGTTTACCAAAAAAATTTATCATTTTTATTAAATTTCTTATTTACGAACGTATCCTCATT